TTTTTAAGTGGTGAGTTAGATGTCCTTCAAAACCTCAGGGCCGTATTTTGGGTTACTTTAGGAAGTCAAGGTGCTGTTACCAGTCTGGATCACCTAAAGTATGCAGCACAGGGCATCTTAAGAATGTTTTTGGTTGATGAAGAGACCTGTTGTTTTCTCCAGCTAAAGAATTCCTATGACATGCTGGAGGGAGCCTTCCTTTTGGAGCCCTCCTAGCCTGTGTGGGATGGGTTGGTTCCAATAGCATCTAGCCAAATACTTTCAGATTGTGGAATTTACATGTATTTGCATTTTTTTAAAGGCAGCAGAACTTGTAGAAAAAAACTTGAAAAAATTGTATTATGTGAGAAATGGTACATGAACCTATAACTGCACTCACACTTGGCATCTCCTGGCTTTTTTGAGTACTTAAACCATGAAACCCATCACTCTGCTAATGAAGTATTGTGTACAGAATATACTAAAGGCATTATCTTAGACTTCCAGATTCATATTGTATAGCAAAACCTGGAATCCTGAATTTAGGAGATGAATGCTTTCCCAAAGCCAGTTTAATGGGGCTGGGTTCAAATTCATTAATTTATTTAATTTAATAGAGCCAGCAGTTGCTGGAGCAGCTAGGCAGTTCATGTTCTGCTTTCAGTTCAGACAGGAAGAGTTTCCTGTCCCCTTGTTTTGAATGTGAATTAGTTTGCAGGGAATTCACTGCTTATCAGTAGTGGGCAGAGCAGTCCCAGTGCTCTCATCCAAGACTTCAGTGAGTCACTACTGAGTGAAGGGGCTTGGAAAAGTTGATTCACATCTCTGCCTTTAGTAGCAATGGAACCTCCATCTGTCCTTAGCACCCAGCACAGATTGTCATTGACTTCCGCCTAGCTGGCAAGGAAGAAACTGCTTGGATTGCCTTTGAGCCATATTGCTCAAGGATCAATATGTTTTAAACAGAAGGCATTTTACCTGTATGCTTTTTGACCCCCGTCCCATCTACACACAGTTGGTTCTCTCCTAATTCAGACTTCCCCAAAGATAGGATTATGTTCCCCTCCCGCAGGAGTTGATCATATCCTTTGCAGTTTTTTAGCTTCAAAAGCAGGAATATTGCCTGTTCTGTCCTGATCAGGGCTTTAGCAACTGTGGAGAGATGTTTTGAGAGCTTGCTTGTGTGAACTAGAGGCAGATGCAGGGCATTAGGAAGGGGAGGATGTTAGTCTGAAGAATTTTTCCACTGAATGCATTCGATGCAGTGAGCTGTAGCTCATGAAAGCTTATATCAAATTTGTTAGTCTCTAAGGTGCCACAAGTACTCCTTTTCTTTTTGCAAATACAGACTAACACAGCTGCTACTCTGAAACCAGTCTGAAGAATGTGGAACATGATTCAATGTGGCTTAACATCACAGCTCAGATCACTTTTATTGATTTATCTTCTACTTTCTCAAATCAACCTGTAGTCTATGGTCTGTACTGGACTCTTTTCCTTTCAGTAATATGCCTGCTAGCACCTTGTTTCTGTTCTTCCATCCAGTGTCAATGCTTTTAAAACCAGAAGATGTATTGCACTGAAGGTGCGGTGATGGTTGTTAATTATTTGAGTGCCATCAGTGTTCTGGGCACAGTCCAAACATAGAGAAAAATGCAGTGTTCTCTGCCCACAGAGTTTATAATCTGCATCTCACCCAGAAGCACAATACACTAGCTGATGAAAGGATGGTCTTGCGGTTAAGACACTACACTGGGATGTGAGGAAAACTGGGTTCAGTTAGTGTCTCTGCCACAGACTTCCATTTGTGGCCTTGAGAGGGTTAATCAATCTTTCTAACCCTCAAGTTGATGATCTGTAAAATGGTGATTAAAGTATGGTTCTCTCTCTTTCTGTCTTGTCTACTTAGACTGTAAACTCTTCTAATCACTGACAATTTTTAAATCGAGATTAAATGTTTTTCTAAGAGATATTCTCTAGAAATTATTTTTGGGAAGTTCTGTGGCCTGTGCTAACCAGGAAATCGGACTATATGACAACAGTGGTCCCTTCTGGCCTTGGAATCTCTGTATCAATAAGCAGGGATTGTGTAAAGAGTGATGATGGTCCAATCCTGAGGTGTGGCACAAGTGTATTGGTGAGATTGAGGCAGAATTTTGTTCATAAAGTGGGATTTTTCTGAAGAGAGAGGGAAGCTGTTACGTGTGAGGTGCCTGATGAAGTTTCACTCACCTAATAACCTTCTGTGGTGCAGATGTGTAATTCCCCACATGTATTGCATTGTCTCTTTCCTTCCATGGCTGGAATCCAGGCTAGGATTAGAGAGATTTTAGAAAAATGCTAATGGGAATTAACTCTCTTCAGAAAGGGCCAGAGTAAAGCTGAAAGGCTCAGGTTCCATCCACACCACTGCATTATAACAGTGGTGACCTGACAGGGTTAAAACATAGTTTATTCTTGGAATGTAAGTTGAACTAAACTGGGTTTTAACTGTGTTCCTGAGTTGAACTACAGCACCAAAAGTGCAAAGCTTCAGCAAGATTTTTGTGTATGGTTTGGTCTCTCCTATGCTGCAGAACCGATCAATGTTTTTACAGTTTTTTCAGGGGTCCATGCTATTGTAACCATGCCCCTTCCCACACACCCACCAGACACAAAATTTGGTATAGTGCAGATGTGATCTGAAGAAGCAGCCTTAATTAACTGGGCAGCTCTTTAAACAAATTCCTAATACACTAGCTCCTCTAGTTTTGAGCTTTATTTTAAAGGCCAATTCACTTTCCAGATTGAGGTGAGGTTAACTACAGTACTGCAGTTGTAAACATACCAGGCCCTTTCAAGCAGGGGGCTGCTTAGAGCCAGGGTGTGGGTTGTGTCAACATGTCAGTATAGCATAGTGTACTTCAGTGCTTTCTGAAGCCAGAGTACAATAAACATGAGACTTAGAATGGCATGTTTTAAATAGTGCTTTTCTGAGCTATAGGAATACTTTCACCCACTGCTGAAACACAGCTTGCTTTTTATTGGAATGCAGCAATTGTTTAACAGTTCACCATAACTCCATAGAAGTTGAGGACAAGAAGTGAAAAGAGAACTTGCAGCCAGTTAGAACTGTAGGGGGAAATAAGGGAGACAGTGTAATTGTTCAAACTAGAATCTGGCCAGGACACCAGGGCTGATGCCCCAACTCTTTTCAAAAGTGCCGTAGGATCCTTGCCACAAATGTTCAGGGCTTTAGTATTCTGTTTCCTCTAAAAGATGGCACCTGCACAGAACAACGTCTCCTAGCTGCACACTGGGGGATTGGGTCAGTATGATCAGAGTGCCACACCAAATAGCGAACACCTCTTTCTCAATTATCTGGGTTTTAAGAGATCCCTCATCCAAGTTTCAGAGTAGCAGCCATGTTAGTCTGTATTCGCAAAAAGAAAAGGAGTACTTGTGGCACTTTGGAGATGAACAAATTTATTTGAGCATAAGCTTTTGTGAGCTACAGTATTATCCGTATCCAGCCATATTTCATATAAGACAAGATGGGCTTATAATGGAAATCTAAGGGGTACGTATTGCTGGTAGGCAGTTTCACTGAAAAGATGGGGGTGGGGGGGAAGAAAACCTTCATGTGGGTTGACTTGAGGTGATGCTAGCAGCTATGAAGACTTGAAATGGGGAATTTCCTTTACCTTTGGAGCAGAAATTCTGGAAGTACATGGAAGTTTAAGGTGGAGTAACCCCTGGTTAAGAAATTTAAGTCTTTAGATTTTTTTTTTCCAGGTTCTGCTCCTCTCCATGAGGAGCCTGCTAGTGAGGGCAGCTGATCACCACCCATTGTCACAGTTTGCCAACAAACTATAAACCTTAATGGTCTCTCTGCAGCTCCTAGACACACATGCCAGTACTTCACAGATGAAAAATACAATCTCATAGATCATAGAATACCAGGGTTGGAAGGGACCTCAGGAGGTAATCTAGTCCAACCCCCTGCTCAAAGCAGGACCAATCCCCAATTTTTGCCCCAGATCCCTAAATGGCCCCCTCCAGGATTGAACTCACAACTTTGGGTTTAGCAGGCCAATGCTCAAACCACTGAGCTATATCCTCCAAACATTTTGTTTTCCATCAAACAAACTGTGGTTTGAACAGTAATGTTAGAATATGACCTAGGATCCTCAGATATATGAGAATCACCAGACTAATGGCTGAAGAATGAACAATCTTCATTTCTACTCTTAAGAGTATACTCAGGGAAGGGAACCAACTTATCTTTAGTACTGTATCCCCTCTATGCTGCACTGAGCTCTGCCTGACCACTCTCCTCCAAAGCTTTACAGTCACTGAATAGTGAGGGGCTTTGACTGGGTACCGCTGTTGACCTCCCCAAGTCCCTGGAAACTGGCCAGTACTGATTGTCTGAAATAGCTCCAGTCCTGGTGGCTAATCTCAGAAAAGTTTGAGTAGACAACACAAGGCACCAGGAATAGCCTCATTTTACCAGACCTGAAGATGCAAAGAAGGGTGTGGTTTCTGCAGAAAACCAGGGAATCTGAACTAGGTCTCGTTTGGGTCAGAGTAGAAGTCCCTCTGTATAGATGCATACAAGGCACTTGGAGCACAAATCTCTTTAATTGGGACTCTGAACAACGGCTCAGTCAGTGAAGGCTGTATTGTCAGTCTAGTAGCTTGACATGCTATAGATTTCAGGACAGGAACTTTGTCTTCCGCTGTGCGTGGACAGCACCCAGCACGTGCAGGTGCTCCTTCCGTTTTAATAATTTGCCCAGGTAGTGGCTAGCTGCAGCGCCCCATGTTGTGAGCTATTTGAAGAGAGGGATAGTCATGAAACAATATAAAAGGGAAATTCATGGCAGTATGGTCCGTGTAGATTGCAATTTTCTGGATTCTGAGACATACCACCCAGTACTCATCTTCTCTTGAGAAACTCCTTTGGCTGCTGGCATGTTGCTGTGAATCAAATTGTATGGCTGGAAAAATTTTATTGCCTTTAATACTTTTTGTTACAGAAGTCTAGATAGAAGGGAAATCAAATCTCCTGACTCAGTGTGGAGTTGATCCCCTTCAAGAGACTGCTTGGCCTCCAGCACTGCTGACGATAGCTCCAAGTCTGCCATAAATTACAGCAGCTTTGTATGACTACCTGGGGGCTGCTCTGCGCCTAGAATAGCTGGAGTGCAGTGTGTTTCATCCATTCCAGCACAGTGCAGACGGCTGCAATATCTGAGACAATTTCAAGCTCTGATCGTGCTGAATTGTTGCCATCCTGTGACTACTCCCCAGTGTGGCCAGGAAACGTAGAGGGTTGCAACTGCCCCAATGCAGGGGGACTCATAACTGCGTCCTATAATGAAGTGCCTCGTGCTGGGAAATAACCCAAAAGCCCCTACTGCCAGCAGCAATACTGGGCACTATGGGATAAGTGCTGCAGGTGTGCTAGCATGCACTGGTCCAACTCTGGTTGTAAGGAGCTTCGGGTGTGGATGCTTCACAACAATTCTGGAAAAGAATGTTGCTGGGTACATGTGCTAAACTGTTGCAAGGACAAACAAGAAAATCAACCATTTCCTACCATCAAAGTTCCTGCAGTGGTTCCTTTGGTTTGCTGGAGTCATGAGAGGAGCTACAGCTTCAGGCTCAGGAACTTTGCTGTGGACTTGCAGGTCAGTGTGTTTGAGTTTGATTCAGTGTAGCCCACTTGATGTTGTTCCTGTTTGTAGCTGCCTTTTTGTGCAAATTTTGCCACAGCAGAACATATGGCTGCTGCCTTTGCTTTTTTCCTGTGGTTTTGGGTTGTAGGCTCTGGACCAAGGTTTCCAGCCTCTTTTCTTTAAATTTTTCTCTGTCATTAGACGGCTTGTGCTCCACATACAGGCAGCAGGCTTCTTTTATCTTGAGCTTCAGCTTGTGATCTGTGTGTCTGTCTCTCTCTCTCTGTCTAGAAGGGGAGGAGAGGTTTTTTTGCTCACTCTCCTCCTTGTACAACGCCTTCTTTAGCAGGCTCCGGTAGGAGTTGCGTAGGCAGGAGTGGTTCTTGACAGTACCAAAAAATGTCATTAAAAGTAAAAAAGGCAAACTGATTGAAGAGAGTTGACCTCAGATTTCTTGCTTTGAGACAGCATAACTGACTCTCTGAAAGTGCCTTGTGAGCTGAAAAGGATCGGAAATGAAGTTCAGGGCTGCGGTAAGATTTGTTTAACTGCTGTTTTCTTCTGCAGTCTTTCTAATGTGTGTCCAGACTGAGAGGAATGGAGAGAATTCTTCAGGGTTTCAGCAGGAAGTCCCTGTGTTTCACACACAATTTCCAATGGAAAACTCCTGCTTGGAAAGTTAAGTGTGAGTGCTTGAGATGGGGAGAAGAAAAGTAAGGCAGGTTTGGGGCTTATATTTTAAAGAGGTGAGTGTATGTGGGGGTACAGAGGGTGGGAAAAGACTGAGGCAGGAATATGCTGGGGTTGTGAGGAGGGCATATGTATCATGTTCTGGGGTTCTTTTTGTGTGATATCACAGAGATGCCAACCTTTACTAACTTTCAGTAATTCTTCTGATTTTTTTTAAGGTGTAATTATGAAATTACTAATTTGGGCTTAAATCAAGTAATTTTACAAACACACATGTAATGTATATAAAGTGTGTGTGTGTGTGTCACTCACCACTCGGGTCTTACGATCACAGCAAACAGCATGGGGGGGTGCATTCTTCACAATCCCCATGGCACAAGTGTATACTGTGCAGTGAGGTTCTGATAGGAGTGGTTTTGAATGGGTTAGGGCAGTGCTGGATTCACCACCAAAGCCACAGGCTGTGTGTTGCACTTGGACTGCCCCTTGTGGACTCTGCAGTTAAAATGCTCCAGGTCAGTGGCTCTCAACCTTTCCAGACTACTGTACCCCTTTCAGGAGTCTGATTTGTCTTGCATACCCCCAAGTTTCACCTCAGTTAAAATCTACTTGCTTACAAAATCAGACATAAAAATACAAAAGTGTCACAAGACACTATTACTGAAAAATTGCTTACTTTCTCATTTTTACCACATAATTATAAAATAAATCAGTTGGAATATAAATATTGTATTTACATTTCAGTGTATGTATAGAGAGCAGTATAAACAACTCTTTGTATGAAATTTTAGTTTGTACTGACTTTGCTAATGCTTTTTATGTAGCCTATTGTACAACTAGGCAAGAATCTAGATCAGGGGTTCTCAAACGGGGGGTCGTGACCCCTCCGGGAGTCACAAGGTTATTACCTGGGGGGTCATGAGCTGTCAGCCTCCACTCCAAACCTCGTTTCACCTCCAGCATTTATAGTGTTAAATATAAAAAAATGTGTTTTTGATTATTATAGGGTGTTGCACTCATAGGCTTGTTGTTTGAAAGGGGTCACCAATACAAAAGTTTAAGAACCACTGATCTAGATTAGTTGATGTACCCCTGGTTGAGAACCGCTGCTCTAGGTACCTAGATGGGACAGTTCAAGCACAGTACACAGTCTGTTGCTTGGGCAATGAATACAATTCCCCACTGACAATCTCTGCAGCTTGCTTCCTGTCAGACTCTCCCTGTACAGTCTGTGGGGGAGGAGAAGCTGGAGGAGGCAGCAATGATGGAGGAGGAGAGAGGGAATGTGATGAAAATTAATAGGCATCCTTTTAAAAACAAACAAAGGGAAATACTTCTCCACACAATGCACAGTCAACCTGTGGAGCTCGTTGCCATGGGATGTTGTGAAGGCCAAAAATATAACTGAGTTCAAAAAAGAATTAGATATGTTAATGGAGGATAGGTTGGTCTATCAGTGTCTATTAGCCAAGATGGCGAGTTATGTGTCCCTTGCTGTGGATGCCACTAAACCTCCAGCGGCCAGAAGCTGGGACTGGATGACAAGGGACAGATCACTCAAAATTGCCCTGTTCTGTTCATTCCCTCTGAAGCATGTGGTACTAGCCATGGTCAGAAGCTAGGATATTGGGCAAGATAGATGGGCAATTGGGCTGCCCCAGTAGGGCTGTTCTTATGTTTAAAATTAGCATTTGTATTGGAGAAGCAGCAGCCAGCCAAACTCTGTCAATTCTCAGTAGTGCAGAATTAGAGGAGGTTCAGAGAAGGTTGGTGAAAATGATCAAGGTCCTGGAAAACACTCCTATGAAGAGAGATTGAAAAGAGTAGGATTGTTACCTTAGAAAGGAGACAAATAAGAGGAGGCATGACAAAAATATATACCATAATTAGTGGTCGTTGGGAACGTCTTTTCTCTCTGATCCATAACACAAGAAAAAGGCGACAGTCAATTAAATTAAAAGGTGGCAAATACAAAATTGATATAAGGAAATACTTTTTCGTGCAATGCATAATTAGATTGTGGAACTCATTGCCACAGGAAGTTGTTGAAGACAAGAACATAGCAAGACTGAAAAAGGGATTGGACGTTTACATGGATAAGAATATTCAAAGTTAATGCTAACAGATGTTGAAAGTGGTATTAAAAACTTCATGGTTCTGATTTTACACCAATCCCTAACTATTAGGGATTAGGAGGAGACCTAATGTGGGGGCAGATTATCCAACATCTGCATAATGTGAGGCATCTTGCATCTTCCCCTGAGGCATCTGTTACTGGCCACTGTCTGAGGCAGGATTCTGGACTGGATAGGATCCAGGTCTGATCCAGAAAGGCAATTCCTATCTTCCTATTTTTCTTTTAATTCTCTCATTACTGCTTTAGCCCCAGTGCAGGCCCTCTGTTGGGAGTAATAGCATAAATAGGCCCTTGGTATTCTAACCATCGTTCATCTAACATGGCTCAGAGCAGATTTTGAGATATGGTGGTAAAGCCACCTGAGTCTCATCTACACTAGAGCTTATTTTGTTACTATCATCAACACAGCTGCACTACTGGTGGCATTTATTGTAATTTGGATACTGATCTATCTTGTGTAGATAGGACCTCTGAGGCCAAAGTGGGCACTTAAGTGAAGGTGTCCTGAATCCTGGTAGTGCCTATGTTAACACACACACACCCCCATATGTGCATATGAGCTGGGCATCTGAAGACTGAGCTCTAGAGGTTTGGTTTTGAGATTCTTCTTGCAGAGGGGCAATTCGAGTAACAGCAGGCATGTCCCCACCAGTAGACACACAGGGCGGGATTCCCAGTTTTTTCAATCTTTCCTCATAGATCGTGTGTGTGTGTTTGTTTGTTTTTTTTTGCAACAGTTACACTGTTGACTCATTTAGCTTGTGATCCACAATAACCCCTAGATCTGTTTCCACGTACTTCTTCCTAGGCAGTCATTTCCTATATTGTACGTGTGCAACTGATTGTTCCTTCCTAAGTGGAGTACTTTGCATTTGTCCTAATTGAATTTCATCCTATTTTCTTCAGACCATTTCTTCAGTTTATCTGGATCATTTTGAATTTTAATCCTATCCTCCAAAGCACTTGCAACTCCTCTCAGCTTGGTATTGTCCACAAACTTTATAAGTGTACTCTCTGCCGTTATCTAAATCATTAAAAAAGATATTGAACAGAACCGGACCCAGGACAGATCCCACTTTTTATGCCCTTCTGGCTTGACTGTGAACCACTGATAACTGTTCTCTGGGAATGGTTTTCCAACCAGTTATGCCCCAACCTTACCGTAGAGCCATCTAGGTTTTAGTTCATTGATACTGGAATCATTGTGGATACTGGAACTAGCAGCATCTTTTTAACTGATTTACACAGCTGGTGCCACCTGGTAAAGAGCAAAAATGCCAGCTCCCTAAATATAGAAATCCACGGTGTTGACTCTGTAAGTTTCCCTGATCTCTTTCTGGTTTGCCCACTTCATTTTTCTCACAGATATTTTCTGTTTAGCTTGCTGACTGAAATCTGAGTATCCCCTCTATGCAATAAACAGCCTCATTCTCATCCTTCAAATTCTTTCTTAAAACTGCTTTACTTTCCATTGTTAATCTTTGCTCCAGGTTTATCTACACTTGCTCTCTGACATTTAAAAAAAGAAAATAAAGCAACACACAAGCTGGAACAAATTACATGATCTGCTTCCTTTGTAAAATCAGCATTACCTTGCTTTTTTTGTTCTTTCTCATTTAGATTATGAACTACATGGGGCAGGAGTCTTGCTGTCAAACACAAGAAGTTTCAAATACATCTCTGGTACTATATGAGTAGTAATAAACAACGTTAAAACTCCAGCAGAATTATTCAATGACATACTTTTCTCTCCTCACTTCTGATTCTCCCTTCTCCAAGTCCCTGTGACAAACATGTAATATATATTTAAAATACACACAGCATGATTTAATTGTCAGCATTTCCTGTTCTACTTTGCATTTTAGGGGAATGAATGAATCTGAAGTTTAGATAGCTGGAGTAATAGGAGTTCCACATCTTCAGTTTTAAAAGCAAAAGCTGTCAGGAGAGATGTTACAACAAACTTTACTAGGACAAAAGTAAGGCTTTTTTCCCCTCTGCTGTGTCATTGGTATTTCTAAAATGTTCCAGCTTACGTCCTCTATTATTTAATAGTCAAAATATGAAGGGCCCTTGAAATTAAACTGTTTAAAGGCGCCTGTCAAAGGAGTACTTGTGGCATTCCTCTCCTTCCTCAAACATTTTTCAGAACAATAGCATAGTGTGGAAGTAAATTCTAAAGAAA